CCCAGGACCATCAAGAGGGAAGAGCACACGCAGAATGCAGGACCTTATCCAGAGAAGCAGTGACACCAGAGATGGAGGCAGAGATGGGGACACTGAGAGAGGGAGCAGCTGAGGATTTTAGATTCATGGGAAGAGAAGGACTGAGAGCTGGTGGTCAGGAGGCTGACTTGCAGAATGTGCCCTTTAGAGGCGTAAATTATTATATGTGTCTGAGTGGGTTTTTTTTGTATGCTTGTTTGTTTTAAAAAAGCTAATGTGAATAGAGAGAAATACTGTTAACTGATGGTACATGGAGGCGATTATAATCATTGTAATGAAACAAAGTGTATGAATTTTTTAATGTGAAACTAATGATCTGCCCTGTAAACTTTCACTCAATCTACAATAAAAACCTTAAAAAAAAAAAATTTTATCATGCAAAAAAAAAAAAAAAATTTCTATTATGCAATCTCCAGCATTGTTTCTATCACCAAGGTCAAAATTTCCAGGTACTAATCCTTCCTCTTTGTTTCCAACCTTTTCATTCCAATCACCAAACTGCAAATTGATCAATTTCACACTGAACAAATTTTTAGAATTCTTCAATTTCATCATTATTGGATTTAGTGGTTGAATAACAGTGATTGGATAAATTTGTATTAACAGTTGTATTAACTGGTTGTACTTGTTATTGTTGTTAAGTGTTGTAGAGTAGATGCTGACTCATAGCTACCCTGTATAGAGTTTCTGAGAAGTGGCTTGTGAACTTGAACCACTGGCCTTGCGGTTCAAACTGACCTTGCATTCCAGCGTATTAACCCCCAGCGCCATGTAGGTGTATGGATATTATCCTGTTACAAACAGCGTTGTACTTCAAGATAGATCTTGAAAGTTTCTTTTTGATGATGAATATAATACCATTCCTCTTCAATATGTCATTCCCAGCATAGTAAATGATTGTTAGATTCAAAATAGCTAATACCAGATCATTTCTGCCCACTAATGCCTGTGGGATAATGCAGTGGACTGCAAGGTCAGTTTGAACTACAAGGTTGGAAGTTCAAATTCACCAGACAATCCTCAGAAACCCTATATAGGGTCTCAATGAGTCAAGAACCGATCTGATGGCACTTAACAACAACAACAACAACAATGTCTAGGATGTCGATGTTTATGAGTTCCATTTCATTTCTGGCAACTGACAATTTTCCTAGATTCAAACTTCATACATTCTGTGTTCCAATTATTAATGGATGTTTACAGCTGTTTCTCCTTATTTTGAGTTGTGTCCTATTAGCAATGGGATTATGGAGGGACATAATTATTGATAGTAACAAAGTCAAGGCTCTGCCCTTAAGGTAGGCAGCTAAGGTAAAGCAGAAGGTAGATTTGTTGGGCTTGGGCCAGAGGTCAACAATTTAGAGGAACAGGTTATTATTGGCCAACTTTGTGAATATCGAAATGGCAAAATTAACCTTAGTGCTTAAAGGAAGATTTAAAAAAAGATGCTATTTTTTTTCCTTTGACTGATGGACAGTGGCTTGAAGGTTTAGTAATAATTACAATAAGGAGGTGTAGAAAGCAGCATAATTGTACTGTCACAGCTATCAAAGGCATTTTATGGAGAAGGAATGGGGAATGATCTGGAATTGGCAATGAAGGGCGTAAAGAAGGCATCTTACCCAATTCCAAGGCTTAGTGATATAAAAGAAGCCTACAGTGGAAACATGGGAGTTCAAGGGTGGCTCTATGGGTCCATGTTCTGGACTGCAATGTCACTTTGAACTACAAGGTCGGTGGTGCAAGCTCACCAGCTGCTCTTTGGAAACCCTATACAGTATTGTTATGGGTCAGAATCTAATCGACTCAATGGCACTGAACAACAATGACACTGGAAATATAAACCACAGGACAGGTTTGAGAAGAAGGCAAGAATATAGGGGCTGAGATTCCATAAGCAGGAAGAAAAAAAAAAAAAAGGCTTTACTAGATACTGAACAGAAATTTGAAAATTTTAAAACATGATAAAATAGCGTCAGGAGTAAGAAAAAACTACATATTCTATCTTTAATGGAATATGTTTGTATTTGAAGTGGCTTTGGTAACCAAAGTACCCACTTTTCATTGTTTGGAAAAATGAGGGGCAACTAAAACAAACAAAACATGTTAAATAAAGCATCATGTGATTTAAAGCCATGAAACATAGAAGTCATTTGTTGATTTGTAAGATGATGCCAATGAACTTCTTGAAGGGATGAATTGGCTCTGAAGGACAGCATTAAACATGAGGTGTCAAGGTCATTTTCACTATTCTTGTAACTTTATTATTTTAAAATATTGAACCAACTTAGGTTAGATCAACTAGACTATGGAATTGGGCGTAGGGGAAAGCTTTCAGTAATGCGATGTTGTAATGCTAATTAGCTGGGGAAATGTCTTGCTGTGTCATAGAGATGGTTCTTTTATCATGAGATGCTACAGAGTGTCATCAATTTCAGACTCCAGGATACTCAAGAGTGCTACCACAGCTCTCAGTCTGTGGCTATAACTTCTTCTTGTTCTTCTTAAAAGAGTCATAAGAGTAAGACACGCCACTCTTATGCAGTGGGAAAAATCTAGGGTATGCCGTAACAACAGCCACTTATTGTGCAAAGGGGGACCACAAACTGGTCTGAATTGTGTGCTTGTTGAAGACTGAAGAGATGCTCTTGTGATTGAAAGAAACATTGATTATTCCAGTACCTTGCACTCAGTGAACAGACAGACCATTATTGTTGTTGCTATTGTTAAGTGCCATCAAGTTGGCTCCGACTCTTAGTGATCTCCTACAGAGTTTCTGAGGAACAACTGGTGGGTCTGAACCATGGACCTTTTGGTTAGCAGTCCAGTGTTTATCCTGCAGAACCACAGCAGGCCTTCCAGTGAATAGATTGTTGTTATTAAGTGTCATCAAGTCGTTTCAGACTCATAGTCACCCTGGATCAGTTTTCTGAGGAGCGGCTGGTGGGTTTGAACCACTCACCTTGCGGTTTGTAGTGCTTATCCTACGGGGCCAAACCAGGACTATAGCGAACAGATATTTTGTTGTTGTTGTTGTTGTTAAGTGCCGTGGAATCAGTTCCGACCTAAAGCGACCCTGTATAGGGTTTCCGAGAAGCAGCTGGTGAGCTTGAACCACTGACCTTGCAGTTGAAACGGCTTTGCAGTCTGGAGCATTACCCCACAGCATCACACCAGAACAGATAGGTACCCACAAAGTCAATGCAAATTAATACTCACTTGAGTTTCCATTTCACTTACTGCATATTCTGAATTGGTGGAATGCAAATTAATGACGTTTATTATTCTGAGGAAAGTGATTTGACGATTGAACTCTTCTTACCTTGTTAAGTACAGAGCGAGCATTTCAGAAGGGAAGGGAAAGCTGAGGTTTATGTATCTGGTGGTAATGTCATTCATGAAAGATGCAGAATCCAACTGTTTAGTATTGCTCTTGCTCTCTATTTCCTACACAGCTTGTAAGAAATGAGGTTCCTCACTCTATTACGCTAATTGAATTCCAACTTGGGTAATTACACCATAATTAAATAAATTCTCCCCATAGTTTTAATTCACTGACAAATGGTAATAGTCAAATAGCAACAATTCACTCCAGAAATGCATCCCCACTACATTTCAGTGGTAAGTGAAGTGATTTATATTTGGGAGATGTATGTCTGAAAAAAAATGCACAGTTCATAAAATATTTTAGGTATCATTCATGATTACATATGCTTTGCTCAGCATGAGATAACATTAATTTCTATTATAATCTTTCATCTAATTTTTCATATGCTTGGTGCCAAAAGAAGAAAGGCAGTTAAGGAACATTTCTTGTTTTTAGAACAATTTCTGCTTAGTTAACCAACAGCTAGCTTATAACTACTTTTTAATTTCTAAAGCATATTTCATTCATTATCCCTGGAAATTAAACTGGGCTAGGCATTATTATTTCCCATTTTACAGATGAGAAAATTGAGGCAGTATTTCCTAAAGTAAGGAAGCTAGTTATTATTAGTACTAGCTTTGGAACTCAAACTTCCTCTGATCCTCTGGACCCAGGCTCTTTCTGTCAAACACTCTCAAACCTGGGTCACTGACAATCACTTTCATTTACTACTGTGAAAATAAACCACAGCACATTTATTTGTAGCAATTAATGCTTTAACTTGAAGTCATAGACCCAAATAACTAGGTCTAGATGCTGGTAGTGTAGTGGTTACAAATCAGGCTGCGACCCTGAAGGTCAGCAGTCCGAAACTACCAGCTGTTCTGCAGGACAAAGATGAGGCTTTCTGCTCCCTCAGAAAACCTGTGACAGGGTCGCTATGAGTCAGAACCGACTCCACGGCACATAACAACAACAAGATGCTGTCCTTGGAGCTTGAGACTATTTAGCTTTTTTGTGTGCTGAGTGTTATTACTTAGTATAGCTCAACTAGAACAGTTCAAAATGTGATGCATAGTACGAAAGGATTCAGATTTCAATTTTGTTCTAATGACCTTTCTTAAAGGGTTGTAGATGGCTTTTAATAAAAGGTATTAAAGACAACATCAAAGTACTTACAAATAGCAGCAGTAGCAGGGGTGTTATAACGATGCCCTGAAAGAAATAAAAGAGATGATGAGCATTTATCAGCATGGAAGCAGGGCACTTTCTTTGCCATTTTAAACTCTGATGCATGGAAATGCTTATCCTTCTTACTTTTTGTCTAATAAAATTTAGGAGATCTAATCGTGGTTCTCCCTACAATAATGCCTTAGCATCTCTATTACAATTATTTGCATCTGACATCATTTAAAGTACAACCACCAATCTTCCTTAAACTTGTCTTTCTTTTTCTTTTTTTTTTTTTTTTTGAGACTTAAAAGTTCCCTTCTATAGTGCATACGTATCATAGGGGTGGAAGTTGGTGGCTGGCAAGCTGTCTCACTCCAAGGCTTTCAACTCTAACTTGGATAAAGTGCTGCTTTTCGAGGGAAGACAGGTGGTTTAGTCCCAGTTGGGGTCCTCTCCTGAGCAAAGACCACATCAGTTGTGATGAATGAGATGTCGTGATTTTGTAATGTGAACTAATCTCCCCTAGGAAATGAGCTGGGATCTCAAAACTCATTTCACTTGATTAGACTCCATGTCTCCATGGTGGAAGGCAAGTCTTTCATCTAATTTAGCCACATAGGACCACCTCAGTCCTTCTGCCTCCCCTAGGCAGAAATGAGCAAAAGATTTGTTTTCTTCAATGACAGGGAACAGTTTGAGGCTGTTGCCGATGAGGCAGGATACAAGCTTTTAGGTTTCTTGAAGGTAAATCTTTAAACCAGTTGTTTGAGTGGAGAGTTAACATGACAGGTTTCAGTTAGAGAACTGCAGATGATTATTTGCCAGTCTTAGTTTTTCCCTTCTTTCTCAACATTTCAGAGAAAGAGAGAGAATAAGAGTGATCTTATATTTTGCCCAGGATCCAGGTCTGTGATCACTTCTTTCATTTTGGAAAAATGTCCTTTCAGTAGTTACAAAGAAGTCCTTTTGTCACAAAAGTAAATGAATTCTTTTGGATGTGTCCCAACAGAAATAGGAGTATGTAAAATAAACAGTAGCATCATGACTTTCTTGATCATATACATATGTGAATAGCCACACATAGACTTGTTTGACTATGAAATAATAGAATAAATATTTCTTTATTGTGTAAACTTTTACAGTTGGGAAAAGGGAACACAACATTTTAATTCAAGTGCTATATTTTGTATTCTATGCAGTAAACATGTATTGCATCTCATCAACTCCATTGCTGTTTATGAAACAGGTTCTCATTAGCACAGTTAAGAGTGCTAAATGTGCTAACTGCAAAAATAATAGTCAACTACCATTTTCCAATGACACAAAATATGTATCAGAAGAACTCTAAACTCTATAAGGCTATGCTGTTCATACTTTACAAAACCAATGTTTCCCATTCTCTTGTCGAAATGAGAGTATCTTGCAAGCTTCAGTCCACATGGGAGCCAGCTGAATAAACATTCGATTAACTATACATGTAAGGAGCTCTGGCAGCGTAGTGGTTATAAGTCGAGCTGCCAACCTCAAGGTCAGCAGTTTGAAACTACCAGCGGTTCCATGGGAGAAAGATGAGGCGCTCTGCTCCCATAAAGATTTATAGCCTCAGAAACCCTGTGCCAACTCCACGGTACTTACCAACAACAACATACATATACAAGGGAGGAGGTGGTATGGAAAAGGAGGTGATTATTTCTCTTAGGCAGTCATGACAAGGAGACAATGAACAAGGTTTGAACAGTTAACAGAAATTGACTCAGCAGAAAGGTGGTCAAGGCATTCCAGGAAGAAGAGAGGCACAACAGCAAAATGAATCCATTAGGAGTCAAATCAGGCAGGAAGGAAAATGTGGCTTAAAGAGTTCAGAAGCCAGATCACCATAGGCCTTGTATGTCAGGCCAGGGAGCCTGAAATTGATCCATCAACAGTGGGAAATGATTGACATAATTGATGCAAAGGTGTAATGAGTTAGTTTAGTAAATGGAGGAGGGATTTGACTTAACTTATAACCTATCCTATCAAGTCTGATCTTTGTTAATCTATGAATTTACCTAAATTCAGGTAAGGGATAAATGACAAGTGTATTGGTGTTAATTAAGGCATATCAATAACACTAATAACAAACCTAAGAAATGAGACATGAGGTCTGTGATAAGGCAAGAACTTTCACACAGTTAGAAGGTTGAACATTATCATTCATCACTCTGGAGACATTCAGCCTTGGGTGGAATCAGTGCCACCAATCAGCATTTCATACTCAGAGGGATCATATTCTTCTTCTTCTTTCTGGTGTCTTTTTTGTTGTTGCACTTGTTGTTGTCATGTGCCACTGAGTCAGTACTGACTCATACTGACCCTTTATAAGGTTCCCAAGGAGCAGCTGGTGGGTTTGAACCCCTGACCTTGTGGTTCAAACCGACCTTAAGGTCCAGTGCTGATCCTACAGTACCACACCAGGACTCCTGTTGTTGCAATTGTTGTTGTTATTCAGTGTCTTAGAGGCATTTCTGACCTATAGCGACCCTGTATAGGTTTCCTAGAAATAGCTGGTTGACTTGAACCTCCAACAATGCAATTCAAACTGACTTTGCACTCCAGTGCATTAACCCACAGAACCACACCAGGTCTCTGTTGTTGCAACCCACAGCACCACACCAGGACTCTGTTGTTGCAAGAGTGGGATGATAATAATATTAGCAATACTACCAGTAATATTGTGGAGTCCTGGTGTGGCGCTGTGGGTTAATGCACCAGACTGCAAAGCCATTTGAACTGCAAGGTTGGCAGTTTAAGCTCATCAGCTCTTCCTTGGAAACCCTATACAGGGTCGCTATGGGTCAGAACCAACTCAAAGGCACTTCACAACTACAACAACAACAACCAGTAATATTAATGGTATTTTGTTTTAACACTTTGATGCCATTTTAAAATTTGATTCTCCTCTACTGTTACTACTGAAGTTTAGAAAAGCCACATAATCAAATCAAAGTCACACAGCAAGTAAACAGGGAAGTCTGGACTTTGCTCACTTATGCCAACTCCAAATCCAGCACTTACTCTAATGCAACATTAGTGACCACCAGTCAGTCCTCAGAAACTATATACTGGGTGACTACACGTTGGAACTGACTAAACAGCACTTACCAACAAACAACAAGTATTCTACAGAGTTCTGTTTATGATAACTAGGTTGGCATTAACTGCTGTATAATATTGGTTTTAAACTCGTTAACCGATTTATATCAATAACTTATTCTGGAAAATACAGGAGTATTCTCTGTATATTTTTCTGTCTGAATATTTCATGCATATAGCTTTCAACATACAATATGATTTTCTTAACAAATCTTCAAGGACTTAAGATATTTGTTCCCAACACATTCAGTTTCTTAGAATCAGACGTACTCTGAAATTCCAGAGACAAGATTCTTCATTATTTTCTCAAGAATTGTTCAACTTATGCAGGTTTGCATGGACTTAATGGGACAGAGGTAAATAGTGATGTATGCTCAACCTTGGAACAACAGGGCTCTGTGATACAGGGATCTAGGCATAGCCTAAATGGGTAATAGAGGGGAAATAACGTTAAGATGCTTGACTGGCTTATAGATATTGGTTTCCCTTGCCTACTACTGTAAAACAGACACGAGTGAGACAGAAAGGAGTATCGGGAAACATGATTACAGAAAGTATGTAAGCCCGTCTTCAGCCTATATATAACTCATTGGAATACCTAAAAGGAGTTCTAGAACTTGTCCAGTGAAATAGGCTTCTTGCAGAGCCTTTGCAGTGTGTAGGAACTTAGGTGGAATCCTGAGCCCCATCCAGAACCTTCTGAGGTGGGACATTCCCACTAGAAAGGACACGCAGACCACCCCAAGCAGCTCGAGGAACAGAAGATACTTCCTGAAAGAAAGATCAGCAGGAAAAAAACAAAAACAAAACCAACAGTCTGTTTGGCTATTACAAGAACAAGCAAGTTGTTCACTGGGGAGCCATTAAGGCAAGCAAATCAAGTTCCTTCAGGACAAACCCCTCTCCAAGACTGAAACTCAGAGGGAACACATGAGCATGTTGGTTGCTGGTGACCATGTCTACTTGTAAGTATAAGTGGGGGAAAGGCAGTAATGAAGACATGGGCTGAGTTCAACCATGTTCCACAGACTCCAGTCAACCTTGAGATGAATGAGAGAAGAGGAAGGGCTGCTTGGTCTGAAGTTTGGGGAGACTTGGGAACTCCTGAGCCAACTGACACTGACCTAGCCACAGAGGGCTAGAGCTAAGAGTGAAAAGTTCAGCTGATATGAAGTTGGGGGAGATGTAAAAGAACGCACAAACTTGCACATAGTACCCATTTTCCTAGCTTTGATGATATAATGATCAGAACTTGACTAGAGGAAGATAAAGAAATTTGATAAAGGAAGCAAGTGTAAATTGCTACAATTTGATGAACTTGACCTATACTTATTGATGTAGTAACTCAAAATACCAACTGAGAGGGAAGGAGTCTTCACATCAAGAATCAAGTCTATCCCCTCATTACAGGGTTGATACGGACGGGCAACTTAGACACTGGCTACCTAAAATGGGGTGGAGGTAGGGGCTATAAAGGTATGGAGTGGTTGGCTTGCAAGTTTTCAAGAGGGAGTTTAGTTTCAGAGTATGCGGGAGAAGGTAGATTCCTCACTGAATAGTTTTCATCTTGTTTATACGGGTCTGGTGAGAGGAGGTGGGGATAAGATTCTTTTGATTCAATGGTGAGTAACTGTTATCATGACTAATTGTGATTGTCAAACTATAAAGGTAGAAGTTTTGTAACATAAAAGATGTAGTAGCTAGTCTTACATTCCAGGAACAGAGAACCTTAGGACCATGAAGGGAGAACAGCATGAGCAGAATATGGGATCCTAACCAGAGAAGCAGTGACACCAGAGATGGAGGTAGAGGTGTTAGCATGGAGAGATTGAGCAGCTAAAGACTCTTTACTCATGGAAAGAGAAAGGCTGTGTGCTGGCAGCCAGGAGACTGGCTTCCAGAATGTGCCC